AACTGGCATTCCATGATGCTCACCTTCCTGACATGATTGCTGAAGACAAAGCGGGTGCATAAGCAAATGTGGTGAAGAAAGCTGTTGGTGCCCGGCTATCAAAAGATATAGCATCTAAGGTCTTAAAGACTTGAAGGTAAACAAGTGGCCATCTAGCTCAGAAGCAACAAATCCCACATGGAAGAAGCACACCGGCCTGCGAGATCACGAGGTGTCGAAAGGATCAGGTATCAGGCATCAAAGAACAAAAAATAATATTAGTGTGAATGAGGGGGAGTGCAGATTGGGGACCCAAAGACCATCTGTAGGCAACTGGAGATCCCCTTACAGAAGGGTTACAGGGAGGAGATGAGCCAGTCAGGCTGCAGTGTAGCAACAATGAAGCGTACAACTTTTCTCTAGTTCTTAAATGCCTCCCACTATCATGTTCCCAATCCTAACTTACAAATCTGGCTAGAGTGGCAATACAGGGAGGGTGGAGGGAAGGTGGGGTAGAAAGGGGTATCGATAACAAGGATCTACATATAACCTCCTCCCTGGGGGATGGACAACAGAAAAGTGGGTGAAGGGAGATGTCAGACAGTATAAGATATGACAAAATAGTAATAATTTACAAATAATCAAGGGTTCATGAGGGGAGCAGGGAGGGAGGGGAAAAATGAGGAGCTGATACCAAGGGCTCAAGTAGAAAGCAAATGTTTTGAGAATGATGAGGGAAAAAAATGTACAAATATGCTTGTCACACAATGTATGGATGTATGGATTGTGATGAGTTATACGAGCCCCCAATAAAATGATTAAAAAATATATATCTTTGCGTTAAAAAGAGTTCATTTCCCATAAAACCAGAAGAGTCTCCCCCCTAAGACGTAATTATAACTAGATCAAATGTGTATCAACCATCAAATGAAGGCAGTGTTCTGGAGGAGCAATAGTATTGCTCCTTGATGACAAATGTAGTTGACCATTGTATGTATCAGGGGAATTTAATGACATGCTACTTTCCCCCCTATTATTATCGTAGCATTAGACTATTAACATGTTGGAATTAATACTTTTGGAAAAGTTTAAAGGCCTCAAGAGTCTTTTGACTGTATCAATACCATCAGCAAATACTCTTATTTACTGCAGTCAGCACCGCCAGCATCTTCATGATACACTAACTGCAGGTGACACTTACATGGAGGAGTGACGCCCCACCAACTGCATTACGTGTTTTATTACTGATTTGTGCTCATAAAGTAAAACATACAAGTAGCTTCTAAATGAGGCTATTTGGGAATATTGAAATGAACAAGTAGTAGTCTAATGGAAGATTTTCTTTATCTTGTTTAAAGAGGAAGAGGCAGTAAAATTACAATAAGGTAAATTGAGATTTCTTATAAACTCTGTTGACAAGAGGATGTCTGGATAGGAAGTTTTTAATAGTTGGGCATCTATCCCTTTTATATATCTTGTCTTCTAGCGTAGAATAAAGTACTTCCAAGTAATAGCTATCATAATTAAAGTTTTGTGTCAATTGAACTTGGCTGTGATTCTCAGTGGTTGATATAGTTTGGTAATTATATAATGATGTAAGCACCCCCCATCACGTGATCTGATGTGATCACCAAATTAGTTGTAAGAGGAGTTTCATCATATATATGTATATATACACATGTATATGTGTAAAATACATGTATATACACACATTCTTGCAAAGATTGTTTGCTTTTCTGGATCGTGCATCTAACTCATCATTACCTGATTTCTGGCTCTGTGCAGAAATTCATCAGCCTCTGAAACTTGTGAGCCAATAGCTTGACATCTTATGTGTTTATCTTGGATTCAACAGCCTCCACAGCCCATGGGCCACCTGACACGAGACTTAGAAACTTGAGCCTTGTCCCAGCCTTTATAATGTTAGCCATTTCTTTGGGGTAACTTACTCACTCACTAACTCATTCTATCTGTGAACAAAACGTACTGCCATTGAGTCTATCCAACTCACAGGGAACCTATAGGACAGAGTAGAACTGCCCCCTTGGGTTTCCAAGGCTGTAACTCTTTACAGGAGTAGAAACCTTCATCTTTCTCCCAAGGAGAAGCAGGTGGTTTCAAATTGCTAACCTTGCAGTTAGCAGTCCAATATGTAATCCATGATGTCGCCAGGGTGTATGTGTGTGTGTGTGTGTGGTGTATTTCATGGAAAGATTCCATTATCTTTTAACCTCACTGTTCATGAATATTTGGAAGCTTATATATATTATGCTTCAGTTGTGTTGCTCTTTTAGGAACCCTAGCCTAAAACGATAGAGCAAACATTTATTATAGCTTCTATTGTCCACGTGCTGAGACTCCATATATGGTATTTCCTTTAATATCCTCAACAATCCATGGAGATATTTTATTAAGTAGGAAACTGAAGCTGAGTGAAATCATGTAACCCTTACATCCCCCCAAACAAACACAAATATTGGAATTCACATATAGGTCTGTATATGATTCTGAAGCCTATAATGTGTGTTCTACTTTTTACTATTGGCTGCTCCCTTCTGGAGAATCCTGATACATGGTGAATATGCCTCTAATATAACTCTTACATTATATAAAAAACATCTGCTTCCAACTCTGTCTTCACGTCATACTGTGAAGTGTTTAAATGCTCAGGCTGACTGGAGATCCCCTTGCTGAGGGGTCTCGGGGAGGAGATGAGCCAGTCAGGGTGCGATGTAACAACGATTAGAAATACAACTTTCCTCTAGTTCCTAAATGTTTCCTCCCCGCTCCCACTACCATGACTCGAATTCGACCTTGCAAGTCTGGCTAGAACAGAGGATGTCCACTGGTACAGATGGGAACTGAAAATCCAGGGAATCCAGGGCGGCGGATGAGCCCTATAGGACCAGTGGTGTGAGTGGCGAAACAGGGAGGGTAAAGGGAGAGTGGGTAGGAAGGAGGGAACCGATTACAAGGAACTATATGTGACCTCCTCCCTGGGGGACAGACAACCGAAAAGTGGGTGAAGGGAGACGTGGGACAGGGCATATGACAAAATACCCATTTATAAACTATCAAGGGCTCATGAGGGAGGGGGAAGCGGGGAGGGAGGGGAAAAATAAAGACCTAATGTCGGGGGTTTAAGTGGAGAGAAAATGTTTTGAGAATGATGTACAAATGTGCTTTGCACCATTGATGTGTGTATGGATTGCGATGACAGTTGTATGAGCCCCTAATAAAATGTTTAAAAACAAAGCTCAGGCTTTGCCTCATTCATCTCAGGATCTATAATGCATAGCATAGTGTTTGATACAAGGTAGATATCAACAAATGCAAATATCTCATCTTCAAAAAGGGTAAATTGTGACCTACACCGTTTGCTGTTGAGCTTGTTGGTCTGTTGAGTCCATTTCTCTGATAGAACACAGTACGGCCAGCCCTGGGCCATTCTCACATTGTTGCAGCCACTAGGTCAATCCACCTCTTTAAGTGCTTTTAAATGATTAAAACCTTATCATTTGATCTGCCTTTTGACACATTTTAACTTTGCTGGAGTTTTTAATATTTTCTGTTTACTTTCAAACTGGAATTTAACTCTGTTGTTGGTAATTTTCTTGACTCTCTGTTACATATTTTTCAGTATAGGAAATCAAGCATGGATGAATCTAGAGACAGTACCTAGATTAAGGGTTCCTGGCAAATATGGCCACGGAGGGAGGGGTGGGGGGCGGAATGGGAAGCTGGTAACAAGGAGCTCAAGAAGGAAGAAAATGTTTTGAAACCGATTGTGTCGGTGATTCTATAGCACTTCTTGATATGACTAAACTGTTGAATTGTATGTGGTCTGGATTATGTTCTAATAAAACGATTTAGAAAAAAAGAAGGAGATTATGAGAAGAAAAACACACACAGTGGTCCTAAAGAAGTTTAAGCTGCATTGAAGGCATTAGTGACAAGAAGGCTCCTGGAATTGACACAATACCAATGGAAATGTGTCACCAAGCTGATGAAGTACTGAAAGCTCTCACTCATTGTTGCCAAGAAATTTGGAAGACAATTACGTGGCCAAAAGACTGAAGAGATCCATATTTACACAAATTCTAAAGACAGGTAACCTAATAGAACACAGAAATTATCGAGCTAGATCCTTAGTGTTACATACAAGTAAATTTTTGTTGACCATCATTCAACAATGTTTTCTGTAGTCCACTGACAGAGCCCAGGGAGAAGTTCAGTCTGGATTCAGAGGGGGATGTGGGACTAGGGATAGCACTGTTGACGTCTCAGGCTGAACTTTACGGAAAAGAGAAAATACCAGAAAGATGTTTACTTGTGTTTTATTGACTATGCAAATACCTTCGACTGTATGGATCATAGCAAACTATAGATAGTATTGAGACGAATGGGAATTCCAGGATACTTCATTGGGCTCATATGGAACCTGTACAAGGACTTGTACAAGACAGTTGTTTGAATAGAACAAAGGAATTCTGTGTGCTTTCAAATCAGGAATCAGGAAATATGGGCATTAAGGTTTATACTTTCTCCATATCTACTCAATCTGTTTACTTATCAAATAATCTGGGCATGTGTAAAATATAGAGAACATGCCTCAAGAGTGCAGTGTCTCACTAACATCCTATGCTATGCAGATGACAAGACTTTGCTTGTTAAAAGTGCTGAGGACTTGGAGCACTTACAGATGAAGATCATGAATTGCAGCCTTTAACTCTGTGTAAAGAATACCAAAAATCTCACAACTGGATCTCATAATAAGTGTGAAAACGATGGAAGTTGTCAAAGATTTCATCTTGCTTTGATCCAGAATCAATATTCATGGAAGTCAAGAAATCAAATGTTGTATCTTTTTGCGTAAATCCAGACCTCTGGAAAGTGCTGAGGAGCGAGGACGTCACTTTGAGGATTACAGTGCACCTGATGGAAGCATGGAGCTTTTAATATCCTCATATACCTGTGAAAGTTGAGTAAGGAAGGCCAAAGAAAATTTGATTTTTTGAACTATGATGCTAGTGAAGAGTGTTGAAAGTGCCTTGGACTACCAGAAGAACGAACATTTCTTCTTGGAAGTATTAGAGCCAAATGCTCTTGGAACCTTATGTCTTAAGAACCAGAACCTGACAATCCGGATGCAGGATCCAGACCCAGCTCAAAGCGAGCAGGCTTTTCCACTGTGTCCACCACTTCCACTGGAAGCAGGCCACACCCTGGGTGAAATCCCATCATGGGAGATTAGTAGGTCTTGACTGCCAAAACACTGTGAATACTGGGCCAGCCACGAAGCCTGAACTATTACACCTGCCTTTTTAGTGACCTTGTGCTTTCTTTATGTGTGATAGCCTTGATGTCATCCTATAACCTTGTCTTGTCTTCAGTCATTAGTGATCAATGTGTCAAATCTATTATTGAGATGGTCTCTCAATTTGGGTGGCATATAACCAAGGCCATAGTTTTGGCTGTAGTGTACTGGACTTATTTTAATTGTATTCAGTTTCAAGTTAAACTTTCATAAGAGCAATTGGTGGACCGCTCTGTAGTTGGTTATGGTCTTATTCTGAGTGATGATATTGAGCTTTTCCATTATCTCTTCATGCAGATTGCCATATTAATTTTCTCTTCCCTACACCAATTCCTTTCTCATCTCTCCTTGTGTCCCTCCCACTGAAAATATTTTTTTCAAAGTGATCTTAATGTTCTAATAATATTTTAAAACATCCCTTTTTCTAATAATTCCCTCCCCCTTCTGCTGCTTACCGTCTTTGTTTTAGACAGTGTTCCTACTGCTTGCCACTTTTAGTGACCTTTAAGTGCCCTTTAGTTCACACGTACTGTGAGCTGTCTTTTTAGTAGTACAAGAAGTAGAAAGCACTTTTACTTCGTGAGGGAGAATAGCAGAGCTGCGAGTCCAGGAAAGGTAACACAGGAAATTGTTAATGTAGCTTGTCGGCCTCTTGGCCATCACTGTCCAGGGCTTCTAGTTCCCTCACATATAAAAATGTGTCATTTAGAAAGACATTAGATACATTTCTCTGGCTTAACAACATTAATGAGTCTTGGACATTGTAAAACGTTGCAGAGCCTTTAGCTTTTATTTCCACAGTATTCTATATGCAGCCAAGGGCAATGCAAAAGTATATCAATGTGAGTTAGCCATCACTTAGCAGAATATAAGTTTCTCTTTTATATTTTCAAAAGATAAACTGGCAAAATTGGCTTGATGTTAAAAAATGTGAGGAGACATTAAAAGACCTGGCTTCATCCCTCACTGTACAGATGATCTTTCTGAGAACAGGACAGGTAAATCGCATGTCCAAAGTCCTAGATACCTGACCTTTGGACACCAGCAAAACTCCCAACTGCTAGCCACCAGGACCCCCTTCCTAGCGTAAGTGACGGTATAAGTTTTTATCTTATGAATTTTTTGGCAATCTGATGAAGTTTCTAGACCACTTCTCAGAATGGTGTTTTAATGTACATAAAATAAACTAGATAAAAGTAAAGAACAACAATGACAAGGACATAAAGTAGTAATTAAAATATTATTGGCTTCACCTACTTCCATGCCCGAAACAACAAAAATGCAAAAACTTGCTGCCGTGGAGTTGATTCTGACTCATAGTGACCTTGTAGGACAGAGTAGAACTGCCCACGTGGGTTTTTGAGACTATAAATCTTTGCAGGAATAGAAAGTTTTATCTTTCTTCTGCAGAATGACGTCGTTTTGAACTGCTGACCTTGTGTTTGGCAGCCCAATGGGTAGCCCACTGCACCACCAGGGATTTACCAAAATTCAACTTGATTTATTGATTGAGAATATTTATTGCATCTTTAGTGAAGGTTAAAATAGGAGCTGAAATTCCCGTCGAACAGTTTCTGTACAAGCTCCAGGACACTGGGCGCCGTCGTTACAGTGGGTCATCTCTTTTTCATTCTGTGCCCATTGGTAATAGTTCTCTGCCCCTCACATTGTCCTCTTTGTTTAAAGTAGTTATTGGCTTTTTGGACTTTGAGGTGACAGTATTCTGGGAAACTGCGGCAGTCCCTGGTCATCGATGTGAGAGACAAGCTCCACTGGCCAAGGGTGAACGATCAGGAGTGGCAGAGGTGTCCGGGAGTTGACACGTCCTGTAGCATCAGCGTCTTTACACAGGGAAGCTATGATTAAGTTTGACTAGAGAGGAGTCGAAAGACTCCCATAATTTCTAATAAGGGCACGTATAAGCAGTGTTATAGGATTTGCATTGGTTTTATATTACAGTAGAACCCCGGCACTCGACCACATCAGTGCTCGACATAATTGGGTTTCGACGTCAAATGTCGAGAGAATTTTGCATCCGAGCTCCAACTAAACACCAGAATCCGATCCGACGCATGGAATTTTTGTAAACAGAAGCAGTTTGTGTTTTTGGTCACTCGGCGTTAGCTGGCGGTGTTAGTGATCCTTGTTTAAATCTTTTGCGACTGTGTTCCAAGCGTTTTGCTATGATTTTCCTAGTTTTTGTGGCTTTTTGTACTGTTTTTAGATAAAAAGCATGGGTCCCAAGAAAGTTTTTTGAAAAGAATCATCATGATATGGAACAGGTTAACCGTGTTATTGATATTGACGATGATAATTTAGTAAACTCTTTAAGAAAACAGTTAAGGAAAACAGTTAAAAAAAGCAGACCACATTAGACAGATTTTTTTTTTTTTTTTTAGAGAAAGCAGCCAGGTCCTAGTGAAAAAAGACAAAGAAGGGGAAAGACTCCTGACAAGCAGCTGCCAGTTGGTGTTATGGACGGGGATCCCCTTCCCAACACTGACTCTCTCTCCATACCTCCTCTCCACATCCGTGCCCACAGATCCACATCCTCACCAACCGCAAGCTATGGGCCATACTGTAGTCGTTAAAAACCTTTTAAATGTTGTGTTTCTTATTTATATTATTTAAGTCTGAACGTATATACTTTGGAATTTCTGTGTACTGTTTTCTATAAAAAGGCAAGGGTAGGGTAAAAACTTGGTGGTCGAGAACGGATTAATCAGTTTCCAGTTATTTCTTACGGGAAAATTTGATTCGGAACTCGACTGCATCGCATCTCAATGCTCCTTCTAGGATGGATTAACGGCAAGGTCCCGGGTTCTAGTGTTTGTGAAAGCATTTCCCATTTCTCTTGGTGTCACGGGTACAGTTAATAACACTGCTTTATTACTTATATTCAGTGTTGAAGGAAATGCTAAATTTATAAGAGTGAAAATTAGAGAGAAAATATAAAATGTGATTATATTTTTCAATACAAGTTCACGAGTTTTGATCATCTCTGTATTATAGTAATCTCCATGGACCACGGACTTGTCCTGGACCTCCTGTCTGCTGTGTTCTTGATCTACTCCAGCGGTTCTCAGCCTTCCTAAGGCCGCGACCCTTTAATACAGCTCCTCACATTGTGGTGACCCCCAACCATAAAATTATTCTCATTGCTATTTCATAACTGCAATTTTGCTACTGTTATGAATTGGGCAACTCCTGTGATAGGGTCGTTTGACCCCCAAAGGGGTCATGACCCACAGCTTGAGGACCGCTGCTCTACTCGCTTTACTAGGTCTTCTTGGCCTGCATTGGATGTCTTTTTATTTTCACATTGTTTTGCCCAAATATCTTGGAAGGTCACTAATAGCAGGATAATAAATGAACAGCATCTGTAAGAATGAGGAATCTTGAGCTGTCAAATTAGGCTTGAGGCTGCATAATGCAGCTATAAAATCTGTTTTCCCACCCTTGCTGTTTCTTGCTTTTTAAAAAATGACTATTTAGTGGTAGGATCAAAAGGGTAGAAGAAAGAAGATGGCAAT